TAAGTAAGTACGTACTAACTAACACTAGTATATAGTATACTACTTACTTACTAACTAAATAAGTACGGTCGGGTGGTAGTACGTACTCTCTCTCTCTCTCTCTCTCTCTCTCTCTACTCTCCTCCTCCTTCCTCTCTCACGACCACGACGACTCTCTACTCTCTCTCTCTCTCTCTCTCTCTCTCTCTCTCTCTCTCTCTCTCTCCCCTCCTCTCTCTCTCTCTATCTCTGATGTGCAGTTATCTCCTATCTCTGCTGAAACCTCCAAGCTCTCTCTCTTGCCAACCTCACCTTGTGATTGTAGCCATCACAGCTGCTCTCTCTGACTATAAGGTATGGCTGATTCCTTTTTGGCATGGCTTTACATTTTGTGCTTTTTGTGTTTATGGTTAGGGTTAGGGTTTCTGATTTTTCACATATGGTTGCTCTTGATTTTTTTCATATGGATTCTCTTTAATAAGCAAAATATTTGAAGTTTATAAAATTTAGAAATATTTTGGAAGTGAAAAATAAAACTTATTATGGGCTTATTTATTATGAATGTTGAACTGTTGCATGATGTATTACTAATTGATTTCTCTGCTGTCAATAAATTTTACCTTTTTAAATGTTTGACCATTATTTGCAGTTCTCTTTACTCTTACAAATGAAATTGTAATCTGGATTCCCTTCTTATAGCATATGGTATGATTATTCTAACTCTTCAAATTGTTTAGTTAAATACTCTGTTGTTTTAAGTAAATGAAAATTTTATGCTCAGTATGTGATTTGTTCAGGAGATACCATACAAAAAGCCACTGAATAATTAGTTTAAATAAAATGCTAATGTGATTTGTTCACGAGAAGGGATGATCATTTGTCTCCACTATTATTGTAGACTGGTACTCTGTTGCAATTCTTTCTGTACTCAACATATAGTTGTGTTCATTAGTCATACACAATATGCATCGTCGTGCTCATTTTTGAACTAAGATCTCATGAAAACTTAGACTCCGATTAATTAAAAGTTAAAACCATGCTATGCTGGAAAAAACACAGGCCCATTCAGCTTATAGACTCCTTGGTCCAACTAGACAGGGACTTTGGTACCCAAGGTTAGGGTGTTGAATACATTCCAAGTTTGGATCCCACAACAGGGTGTTCACAGATGCATTTCAATATTCTAAGCTCGAACCCCACTACAGACCTACCATAGAAGAGAACACAGTAACCCAACTAAGATATGCCCTTTATTTCCAAGTGAACAAATGTAGGCCCAATTATCATGTATGCATCACGCCGTCCTGGTGATCTATTTAAAGAATTGTCCGTCAAATTGTATACGATGCAGCATGCACAAATCAATGTCAACATATTAATAGCCCTGCCAACCTAGTGAACTCAACAACTGTAATGGTGCATGACCCCCAATTCCTTCAAATTCGCCCTCATTACTTCCACCTAGTTCTCTTGATATGATAAAACCCAAACCCCTGCCTTAATACCATCTTTCACCATTACATAGAAAAGATGACATTTCCAGTGTTTGATTTTATGCTCTATTACCTAGATATAAATATAGGGCAAGCTTTCTATGCTTCCGCTACAGCGTAGAAGCTCTATCCTCCCCCTTATCCAACCGTCCATTCTGAATGGAGGGCTAATATTGCCCCAATCACAATGTCACGTCTCTAAACTATTTTTTATTTTTTTATAAACTCTTTTGACACCAAATTTTGAACGTCCATTCCTCTATTAAACTCACACTAGCGAAAAATATAAAAAAAAATATTTTCAATAAAAATAAAATGACCAAAATACCCCTGAAAGATTCAAGGGGTATTTTGGTCATTATATTTTATTGAAAATTTATTTTTAATATTTTTTATAGGTGTGCCC